GCAGACTGACATTTCAATCAAGACAGACAGAATCGCATGCCCATTAACAACCGGCAATGAAGAAGCCAAGTCTTCACTCTAGTGATCAAGTCTTAACACAGCTACAACTCATATAACTTACCTCAGAGTGCCTATCGTGAAACCAGCACAGCAAGCTAATAATTAAATCTTTTAGTGTGATATATAAGGAATCCCTAATGGAAATGAATTTTTTTATTTTAGTCAAATTTATAGTGCTTGTCCACTCCAACAGGACATCCCAAGTGCAACTCATCCCTTTTGGGACACAACCAAGTCACCAGCACCAATCTCCACAGCTTCATTTGACCCATGGGGGTCACCTTCACTTTCCCTTCCAACAGATAGCATGTCTCCTTGGCATCATAAGTCCATGGGAATTTGCTCGGAGGGCATCCCCACCTGTACACATCAAGATGTGACCAACAATCATATATGCATTTAAGTCCAACAATACTCAGACCTGACCTAGTAACGGATACTACCTAATTGGAGAGCTTTGTGTTTCAACAGTTTGAACCTTTTAGCCGGTTGGTGCACTTTGTGATTCTAATCTTACTAAATAAGGAATTAGAAAGAGAACTGGGATTTTCAAGATACACTTCAATTTTTTTTTTTTTTGGGGGGGGGGGGTCTCCCTCCCGGGAGATAAGAAATTACCCATATATAAGCTACTCCCAATCAGGTCCGAGTGAATGCTTGAATCTGAACCTAATCTCACAGTTGTCCTAAAGAATTTACTTCATGGATTCGAAGTCATGATTTATGAGGTTTTTAGAAAGTGTAATAATTTCTACAATTGTAATGTATAATGTTGAATTTTCTCATGCTTATCATAAGGAGGAAGGGTGATTTAGTTCATTGTTGTTCGATTTTTTTGCAATCCATTCCATTCCCATCCTTTCTAACAATCAAACAAGACCTTAAGAATCTTAAATGTCATGCACTTCCTACTTCAGTTCCAATATTCTACTCTAGCATCTGATCCCAGGCATCCAAAATGACAGCAAGTGTAAGATGCTAGTAAGCATCAAAGTCCTCCTCATTCATCTTTTGATCATACATGAAAGAATTTTCAGGGGAATTGATGACAACGAAAAAAATTTGCATAACACTTGCACTGCAACATGATAAAATATAAAGTATCCATGTATCATCATCAGAAAAGTCAGATCATGCCTAATTCAATAAGATCTCAACCGTCCAAAACAAATTTGTATAGTTTAGGAGAGAGATGCATTCTGTGAGCATACCTCCATATGTGCAGGAGATCCAGAGTACATATACAAAAGTCAGACTAGGACAATAATCAGTTTTTTGAAGTAAAAATAGTTCATAGTGTGGAAACAATAAAATTTCACTATTTAATAAGAATTAATGGTCACAAGATCCGAAGATTCTCAGCCGTCTGTGTCATATTAATATAATAAATTTTCTGATGTTAGCGTATATTACAATGACTGAAGGATGCATTCAGGTTAGCAGGTCAAAACCACTACAAAATTGAGGAACATGGCAGGAAAAAACAGAGAAATACAGCACAACTCATTCACCAAATATAGGAAAAAGAAAAAGAAAAAATCGCCACCCCTAATTCCACAAGCCAATTTGTTAAGGGATTTACAACAGACTCCAAGAAATTATAGAAAAATTTTCAAGTCAAGGAACCTACACAACTTAATAGTGAAAAAGAAACAGCAAGATGATACCGAAATAAGCTTTACTTGCATCAATGCCTAAAATCAAGTTGAGAGATTTTGACCTGAGGAGGGTTATTCACTGACCCAACATGAAGAAAAGCAAAACTTTCCTCAACCCAAATCACATAGGCCAATACAAAAAGGGACTTTCCATCCAACATAATAGATTTCAACTGAAAGAAACCTGCGTATACATGTAAAATTGAACGTGACAGTGAAACAGAAAGAGGAAGACGATGAAGAAATAAGCATTGTTACTTGGGCCATTGCTTAACGCCAAGTTGTGTAAGTTTGTCCTCAGGAGGATTTCTCTCTATCTTGATTCCTAATTTCTCGATCGTCATACTTTCAGCTCGTACTGCCGCAACGCCTCTCCTTCTGGAAGGAAGATGGAGAGAGTGTTTGGTTCCCGAGAAAAGCAAAGATTGGGTTGGGATTATGCCCACACCGGCCATTGACACAAAGCGAGAAACTTCTGGGAACTTGGGCTTGGATTCACGTCCCTCTACAATCGCCATGGACATGGACAGTTATAATTTACAACTTTCGTCATAACATTTATCCGTTTTTAATTTGGATCACTCATTTCTAATCTTTTTGCAGTTGGTGGACAAAGAAAGAAAGAAGACAGGAATTTGATTTGTTCATGCCATTTTCTTCCAATTTTCATAATTTTCTGTGACATGAAATTTTAACCAAGCGCCTTTTTGGCTTTGGGAATTTTTCAGTTTGATTTTTTACTAAAATCATTTACACTAAATGATTTTTTCCCCTTTCTTTGGGCTGACTTTGCACAAGCGTTAAGTTATCTATCAAAATATTGGGCCGAAACACTTGTCATGAGACACACACGTGAAGAATTATTTTGTGTGTACCTAAAGCAAACTTCTAAAGGAGAAAATTATATGTAAAAGTACAATGGAATTGTATTATTTTCTTCTATTTTATGCATATTAAATATTAACATCTACTCGTTATTAAATTTTCTCGACCTGAGCGTTGTTTCTCCATTATATTATATCCTAAGAAGAATTATGAGTGATTAGCCAAGTTTTAATCTTCACTTTACAACAAAGCCCTAATCAATTTTGACCATTTGCCTTTAACAAATATATGCGCAACACCATTTAGGAAAAATATAGAATAGAAAAACAGAAGTTAGTCCTATAAAAATGTTATTTCTTTTATGTCATTCCATCTTTTTTTCTAATACATGGTATATTACCAAGAAAGATCACATGTTCTCACCACCAACTTTCCATTACGAGGGGGATAAAAGAAAAGAAAAGGGCAAAAAATTGTATAGATATTAGCATTCCCTTGTCAATCTATATTCTGAACTTTAATCAAAAGGTTTAGCTCAACAATTTTCCTGAAAATTCTCTCTTTTAGTCTTTCTCTGAGATAGAAATACTGTCAATGTAGAGAATTTACATTTAAAGTTAACCAATCATAAAATGCAAAAATGGTGAAAAGCGTTGAAATTAAAGATTCATTATGTGGGAAAACATAGACAATATACATTAACTAATTAACCTTCTCTAGAAATAAGGTATATTATCTTTTGATAAAAAAATGAGATATATATTATAAGAAGAATCATATTCAAAGATCAATCAAGCAAATTAATTGCAGACAAGAATTAACAATAAATTCCATTTCACAAAAAACAAGTTCACATTTTTATTTTAACAACAATCCATTCTATATTGGTTCTTATATGCTAATAATTTGCTTAAATGGTCCTTGAATGTGATTCTCTCTATATTATATTATGCATAAGGGGAAAGGGAGATTATCAAATACATTTATCATAAGGTTTTGATTTCTCTATCACAACCTTGCACTTTGCATCCCTTTTCCTCACCTGCAAAACCAGAGCCACAGTTATAATTTGATCAGTCAAAGCACAACACAGACTTGAAGGATAATATTACGATCCAGAATTATGGGCGTACACAGCATTTTTTTTGTATTAACCCATCCGGTAGTGAAGCCGCTGGGTCAAGCCCCAACTAGGGGTAGCTCTCCCAAGCACATCATCTCCATTGTCATCACCCTAGGAATTGAACCCAAGAATCGATGGCTAAGGGACTCAGTCACTCAGACCCCTTCCATTGGAGCCAACGTGCATTGGAAGCACACAGCATATGTATTTATTAGTCAAAAAGCTCTGACCCCAAATAAAATAGAGTAAATACGTACTACTGTTCCTATACATATATATATATATATATATATCTTTCAACAATTTAATTCTTGGATTATTACTCTACTGTCTACACATATTTCAAGGGACTAATTCACAAGGAGTAATACATTGCAGAGCCAATATGAAAGGAGGTATACTATTAAGGAATCGAGTTGTATATTTAATAAACAAATAAAAATATGACAGGAAGAGCCCCAGGACACAGAAACTCAAAAGAATATTTCATTGTCCACGCAATGAGGAAACTGGATATCGGGTTTGAACCTTGAAATGACTACTAATGTCTTTTGTTGTTCATCTCATATTCTTTAGCCATGGAAGCAATGTTGAGACCCGGACAGTTGAACTGTTACCTGATGAAGAAAGTGGTTTGATTTAACCATTTAACTTGTTCTAGTAGTTGGTTTGAGTTAACCCACTATAACTCGAGCAGCTTTTGAAAACCCAGAACGATTGGACCATTTTGACCCTTTTTCTTTAACTCTTATTTTAGTAATAACTTTCTTATTCAATTTTAAAATAGTGCCAACTTAATTTTGGTTATTATAGTAGAATCTTGAGTACACGATTTTTTTTATTGACATTATATGAATGAAAGTATAGAGAAAATTTAAAACTCATTTACTTTAAAATAACAAATCAGGTAAATAAAAATATATACATATGAAACAAAATGAGAAAAATAAAATTCAAAAATGTTATGACTGAGCAATTCTGAACCAGAAATGATATTGTTAGTATCTTTAATGTTTTATTTATATATATGCATATAAATATCATTTTTTATTTAATTATTCAATCATCAATCTAACTTGTTAAACCATAAAAACCGTGACCCACTAATATTTCTGGTTTATTATCCAATCCGGTTTTTAAAACAATGTATGGAAAGTTCCTTAGGCATTGATCATCCATAGCATAATGACCTAAATCCCATTAAAATCCAAAGTCTAGACATGGATACCGATTATAAAAATTTTAGTCCAAACAAAATCCGATAATTAAAAAAAAAACACATCTTTCATATTCAAACTAGGATTATCAGAAGAAACAACTAGACTCCTAAAGGATTACCTCAACCTGTGGACTCTTTCCTCGAAGCAACATATCTACACTTTTGTCTGTCTGCAAAATTTTAAAGAACATAAGAAATATAGAATATAAAGCCTACTGATGTTTTATCTTTACCTTCATTTCATCTCCATAATAACAAAGAATAGAGAGTGTCTTTTTCGGTTTAATTTGGAACCAAAACTTTCGTTCACCTATCACTCAAATGCAATTTGTTGGTGTTGAAATATATGTAATTCATTTTGCTCAAACATTGTTTTCCTAGTGGATTTGGAACCAGAAAATCAGTAGCCAAGATAAAACTGAAAAGGAACATGGATATTTATTGGCCACTCTAATCAGCTGAATTGATCTCAGAATCACATTAATTTTCTCAGATGGTATGCAAATAGAAACCAAGTTTTGGCCCAGCTGGCATGTTACAAACGTATGTCTTACTTATCAAAAGATTAATAAGTGAATAACAATAAAAGATTTGTTCAATCAGCACACCTGATGAGTAATCCAGTAGTGCCTGTCTCTCATCTCAATTAGGAAATCAAATGTTGGAGGAGCTTTCCTCTCAAGAACTATCTTCTGACAATTTCTGGCCCTGGCTTCTGCATCTCCCAAAGTAACTGCTTGTATTCCACCAATCTGGGAAATCCAACGGAAGTAAATCTTGCATTTAAGAATTGTCTAGATTCCTTACTGCCACAAAATCTCCTGCACCGAGCTTCTTTAACTTCCATACTTGAAACCGCTCAATGTGAAATTTAGATGACTTTATTAGGAGCATGTTTTTCTGGAACGTTCTAAAATACGAAGAAACTATTGCACGCCATAAAATAAGGAACATAAAACTAACTCATATGAAGGTGTAATAATCAGAAGAAAAGATTACAAGGGATGGGGATAAGGCATCCCACAGTAATTAAAAAAAAAAAATAGAAGCCAAAAAGAAAATGACAAAGACTCTCCTTTGAAGTAGCCATGTGAAGGCTGAAGAGCACCCTAGGGGAGTCAGAAAAGACAGTATAATGCTTCTTCCACCAAGTTGTTAAGTCAAATTTATTAATGGAATAGACCACAAACATCGAATCAAATAAATGAATCCTGAATGGCTACAAAAACTTGTAACCAAACAATAATTGATGTAGCTCCAAGCATCAGTATATATCCAAGAACGTGACAATGGGAAGTCCAAAATAAACAAAGTAAATAACTGAGAACTTAACTTGTTAAAACGGAGAAAGAGTCTCAAGTTGCTAATGGCAGAATCATAAAAGGATGAAAGCGTACCAGATCAGAGAGTATAGAATTCTTCATGATATTCTCAAGAAGCTGTCCATGAGCAGTCCCAATAAGCATGATTCCTCGCTCAGCAATTGACCGACAAGCATGAGCTTCAGCTTCAGTGCCAATTTCATCTACTATTATCACCTCAGGCATGTGATTTTCTACTGCCTCAATCATCACTCTATGTTGCATTGATGGCTCAGGTACCTGCATTCTCCGAGCACTTCCTATTGCTGCATGTGGAATATTGCCATTCCCTCCAATTTCATTGCTTGTATCAACAATTACCTACCCAATTTGAAAGTATTTTTCAAATGACGAGTTGAACAAAATATATTTCAAGTTAGAAAGAGTACTGCAAGATGCTGAAAAAACAACGCACCACTCTCTTATGAAATTCACCCGACAGCACACGTGCAATCTCTCGCATGACTGTAGTCTTGCCAACTCCAGGCCTGAGAAAACCCAAATTATAATGACTTAAAAGAAAAAAAAAAAAAACCTAAGCTCTTGTACATAATACCTTACCTGGTGAATCTTGAAAATATAACATACATTTCTAGGGACTAGCAAGTCAGCAGAACGTGATAAAGTGACTTTCACCATTTATTACATTTTCCCTTGTCACATATTAATAAATTTCTTAAATGAAGGTATCATACCAAACTTTACAATTTGCAATGCCAAACTTGGAAGCATTTAAGCACGTCTTACTATAATGCTTGATTGATAGTGTGTTATACCTTCCAACAAATAAAATGCTCCTTCCATATTGAAGCAGGTCATACACCATGTCAATATGGCCACTAACCGCCCTCCCAACTCGACATGTCAAACCAACTATGCCACCTTTCCTACTTCTGATTGCAGATATTCTGTGCAATGTGCCCTCAATGCCAGCTCTATTGTCCCTCCCAAATTCTCCAACAGCTTGTTGAGCACGTTCCAACTCTTCCACTGTTACCTAAGCTACACATTTCTCAGATGGTCATGTAACCCTTTGAAGGTTAATTTTGTCTCAAAATTAATACATATTATGAATGAATATTCAGGAAAATAAAATCTTAATTTACTCTGCATACGAGACTTCCATGTAAGTGGATAATGGATATAAATAAATATAGAATCCAAAGATGAAAATGGAAAGTAACTATTCAACTTCAGAAAATATGACCTTTAGTCTAAAAGGTGCTTTGTTACCTCAGTTTTCCTAATATATTTCCCGCCATCCTGGCCAAGATAACGTGCCTCTGGAAAACGACCCAAATCCAATATAACCTGATAAATGAAGGCAACACATTATAATGGATGGTCGCCGTTGGTTCACTTAGAGCTAAACAAGCCGTTTTACATTAGCAAGCCTGTACAACATCTACCTGAATATTAAGTAGTTAAAATAATCAAACAGAGAAGGGGTATCAAACTTTAATCTGTGTAGTCAAAATAAGTCAGGTCTCATGAACAGAAGCCACCTGAACTTCTTAATATTCCCTAAACAGTAGGCCAAAAGAAGTGCATCCTTTTATAAAATTTCTACAATCAAGAGAGTCATCTTCTTGTGAGAGGTTCTTCAGTTAAAGAATCAGAAAAGATTCAAGGCATGTGACAGAGTTTTTTGAAGAGTAACAACGCCATTTGGAAAAACCAAATTTAGTTGCAAATACCATAATCTGGCAGGATAAATGTCACTGCATTACAATACTTTCTAGAAATTCGATGAGCAAAGAATAACTTTTGCCAATCCTATGGAGTATATTGATTGGAAGTGTTTAGAATGTTCGCTACTGAAAATTATAATCCCTACTTCCCCCTTATATGGTTTATCTTTAATAATTCCAAAGAGAAAGGATGACAGTAAATCCACAATGGTATCTCACCTCCAAAAGTTCATCCCTCTTTACTTCATTTAGGAGATTGTCATGCAAATCAGATGGAAGGACCTGCGAGGAAGACGAGGTATTTACATTAAATTCATTAGGGATGCAACTCATTGAGAATAAAATATCAAACAGAAAAACGCCAAACATAAATAAGAAATTGGACATCTTTAGCAGTCATAACATCCAATCCAAGTCTGATGGTTCATGTTGAAAAACAGAAAAATGATCAAGTAATACTTGTTCTTCATCAAAAAAGAAAAAAGACAAACCAACTCCAAGAATTCCACACGCATTTGAAAGAAGTGAATGATGTTTGAGAAAATCTAGCGAGAGCAAGTGAAGTACCTGCAACAGAGCTTGCAGATCGTCCTGCACAGGTGAACAAGAATGGTCTGATGATGAGGCCCTACATATCGCTACACCAGCAAGATGCTGATGGGTTCGCATTTGGAGACTAAAACTCAATTTCTGAGATGAAATACGGTATCTTTTAAGTGGCGTAGAGCTTGAATTCTTCAAACAAGTCGACAAATCGGCCGGCACTAACGATTTTGAACCCATTTCCCTCCGACAAAGTGGCCGCTAGCTAGCCAGCTGCTACGGCCCCTGCTTCCCAATCCGAAAGTAAATCCTGATATTTATACGTTTTTTATTCAGTTCCTTTTATTTTTTGGTATTTATTTTCAACTATTCCATTTAAGTATTAAACTAAGTTTATTACTCAAAAATCTTGATTACCTGTTCATAATACCATACACAATAGCACAAGTGGGGGTCATAATCTAATTTGAGTTATTGTGATATTAAAATACTTTAGATATTCTGGCAAAAAAAATTACTTTAGATATTCAATATGTGCATTTTCACATTAACAAATTAATATTTTTTTCCTTGATTACATTTAGTTTGTGGCTTTAATGGAAAGATAATTGTATACAATTAAAAAGTTTGATAACTTTTTTGTGGTCATAAATTAAATTATTATCAATGTAAAAACAAAATCTTTGTATTTTGGTAAAATCTAGTTACCATTCAAAATAAAAATGAGAAAAAATAATTTAATTTACACAATCAAAATAAAAAAGACCTTATCACAAATTTAATTACTCATAAAGTCTTGAAAAATTTTATGAAATGAGATCTTTTGATAGCATAAATTCAGAGCTTCAAATTGATTAACATGCTGTTATCAAATTCTCTCCCTTCTCCCCCCTCCTACCAACCACAACATCCAACGGTGACTTCTACACCACAGACAATACCCCTCTTCCTCTCCTTACTTCTTGGACCTTGTACACCTCTTTCTTACTTAATTATTCTTCTCTATCCTCACATTGTCCCTCTCCTTCCTCCTCCTCTTCAAGTCTGGGCTTGCAAGACCACCACTATTGTTGCCCTTTTTAAAGCTGTTCTCTAGCCCGCCCTCTACATAATTCATCATCACCTAATCCCACTCTCTTGAATCGACGACAAGATTTGTGTTCATGCCACCGCAATCCTATGATCCAGTTCTTGAACACTTCATTGGCAATGGCTAAGAAGAGGAAGTCTATTGCCTTGAAGAGTTAGATTTGGCTGCAAGCCACCTTGTGCACCAATTCTCAATTCATGGTGCTTGTTGGATGTTGGCTTCAATTTGTCTTCCTCTTCCAAATTGATATTGGGTTATACATTTGCCTACTGTGATTATATGTTTCTTGCATGGAATTGAATATTTGTTTAAAAATCTTGGCTCGAACTCTTGTTATACCTGGCTATTTGTTTAGATTTGACAACGAATTGCGGGTCATTGCTTTTATAATTGTATGCCTTGGAATGGTGATTTATTGGTTTGTCAATCACATTTGGTCTTCTTTGGAGTAAAAATGTTTACCATTTGTCTTGTAGCTAAGTTGGATAGGTTTAGTTCGATTAATCACGTAGCATCTTTTGCTTCACAAAAGTGCAAAAGAAGGATTGGCTGCTTCTAGAGATTTATTGGATTTTATTTAGTTAATTGTGGGGTCTTTTGAGAGGAATTAATTACTCAACATGATCTTATCGGAAAGTAATGGTGGCTGTAGGTGCCCGATTTCTTGATAAATGATTCAACTGGCACAAGAAATTTTGGGGCAAAGCTGATCTGAGCACTCGGTGGTTAATTGTATATATTTGGGGTTCTGTGGGGAATCATAATTGTCATCCTTCTTTCACTCCAATTCACAAGGTGAACGGGTTTGCAATGATAAATGTAGTTTGTGTTCCTCATCACTCATAGTTATGATTGAATATGGGATCCGATAAATTCATCTGTAAGTAATATTAAGAGTCTGTCATGTCCAGAGCATTATATCTAGATTTATTTATATCTAGATTTCTTTATCAAATGCTGCATGTTATTGATTGTTCACAAATTACAAGGAAATGAAAGGGGAAAACTTAGCTTTATATATGTTGGTTTTCCTTGTGAGAACTCAGCGTATGATTATTTCTCTACCTGGTAAAATTACATGACAACAATGCTTGTGCTGGGGAAAGAGACTTCATATCCACAGTATGGGACACAGTGAAGAGGAGAGACCTGTAAGAAGCAACTCTCAACAAAGGAAAGCAGATGACGTTGCAATAGAGAAGTCTGTGAGGGCAAACAATGCATCAGATGCTATCAGTGCTACTGCCAATAGCATTCAGGAAATGCTTAAGGAATTTTGGCAACAATCTCTATATTGTAGGGATAAATCATAATAGCTTGGAGAGATCAATTGTAATAGTATGTAGGGATTGATTGTACATGGAAAGTTCAAATGAATGCTGACAATGTACTTGCAAAATCCATATGAGCTTGCTCATCGGTCTTCGCTAAGTTGCAAGGATCCTATTGAAGAAGATCATCTAGTTATAGCAAAAGAATGACTTAATAGGAGAGAAATTTGAAGGCTTTGAAGAATAAATACTACCCTATTTATGTATTTTCTTGTTATAACGTAGTTATGTTACCAAGAGGTGTAAGAGCGTGTTATCGTCTAATAACTAATGGATCTGTTAGTATTTAATTGTTTTTCTTAATGCTTTAAGTTGATGTCATTAAGCTTTACATATAACAATAGTGACCATTGGTGTTTTCTTGAAAAATTTAAAAATATTTGAAATTTTCATTTGCATTTTTAGAATATTTATTAGTGTTTTTGTGAAAAATCATACTCCCTCCATTAAAAAATGTAAGGCATTTTTAACTGAATTTCACTTCTCAATGAAGTAGTTATCTATTTTTAAACTAAGAGATTTTTTTCATGTTCACCACTATTAAATACCCTATATTAAATACAAAGTTATTATCAATATAGACACTTTTAGAAAAAAGATAATAATTACACATCAAAAGATTAAAAATGCCTTAGATTTTTAAACGAATGGAGTATAATTTTTAGAATATGCAAATAACATATTCAAATATAAAGTGTATTTCATGTAAAGTTTTGACACTGAGATTATTTTTTAAGAATATTTAAAAAGTATATTTGAATATAAAATGCATTTTATGTAAAATTGTAGCACTAAGACTTTTTTCAAAACATGCGACAAGCATATTTGAATATATGAAAGAAAATATTATTTTATTAAAGATTACTTGCATACATTGGAAGAAACATTGCATATATTTTCATAGGTATTTATAAGGGATATTTGAATATACATAAATGGTATTTAAATATAAAAAAGAAAATTTCATTCTATTGAATATTAGTTGCACATCATGGAAGAAACATTGCATATGCTTCCAAAAATATTCGTAAAGGATGGTTATTAACAAGGGACATTCAAATATGCAAAAGTTATATTTGAATATGTGAAAAAAAAAATTGCATTTTATTGAAAATCAGTCGCATATTATGGAAGAACTATCTCATATGCTTTTAAAGGTATTCATAAGGAAATGATATTAGTAAGAGATATTTGAATGTGCAGAAGAAAATTGCATTCCATTGAGGATTACTAGCATATCATGAAAGAAATATCGCATATACTTCTAAAAGTATCCATAACCATAAGGGATGGATATCAATAAGGGATATTCAAATATGCAAAAATGATATTCAAATATGTAAAAGTGTTAATATGTCAAGCATAACATGAAAGAAACAATACATATACTTCCAAAAGGCATTTAGATGTAAGGGATATTAATAATTGATATTTAAATATGTAAAAGTTAGAGCCGGTAATTCGAGCTGAACTCGACGGGCTAGCCCAAACTCGCTCGAAAAAAGTTAGAGCTAGGCTTAAAAAATATAATTTTTTTATGTTCAAGCCTATTTGGGTAACTTGAATACGTTCGAAAAAATTTAAACCAAGCCCGATTGGGTTCGGGCTTGACTTGAATGCCCGAATAAAAAACTTTTATTTTTATAAAATATGATAAATATTAATTAGTTAATTAAGTTTTAGATTATTTTATACTAAAATATTATATATTTGAGTCCTATACATCATTTAAGTATCAAAAAATATATATTTTATATTTTTTATAAAATAAAGTAATTAATTTTAAGGTGAAAAATAATAAAAAATGATTTTAAAAATAAAAAATTAAATATTTAGGCCGAACTTAGCTATTCGAGCTTCTTTAAGAGTCGGGCCTATTCGGGCCGGGCTTATTTAGGTCGAGCCTGAATAGGCTTGGCCCGTCTGAATTTCCAAACTCTAATAAAAGTGAATTTGAATATGTGAAAAATAGATTTCATTTCCTTAAAGATTTCATGCATATAGTGAAAGATAAATTGCATATGACTGAAACTAAATTGTATTTAATGTAAAAATTTGACAATAAATTACATCTTAAAAATTTGACATGACATAATTTTCAAGACATATAATTGGATATTAAAATATATGGAAGTTAGATTGCATTTTCTTTGAGAGTGTTTGTATATATAGTGAAAGATTTTGTTTTCATAAGAACTACGATTGATATATTAACACCAAAAGGCCTTGTTTGATACATTAACACCAAAATTATTGATAATAAAAGATCTTGTAACATAGTAATAGCGAAGCACTTTATGTAAAATATTGAAAGTGAAGGATGTTGCTCAATTTTTATTTTTTTAAGCATTTATGTCATTTAGTCCTTGGTAATTATTGACAATAAAGGGCCTTATTTTGAAATATGTCACAGGACCTTTTGGGCTAATAAATTTGCAATGAGGTCTTTTTGAGAAATGTCCCCTAAAAATAATTGTTACTTACTCTATTAAAAAATATAAAGTATTTTTTGAAGAGTTGGACTCAAAAATGCAAAACATTTTTAGTCTTTTGAGGTATAATCATTGCCTTTTTTTAAAAAAAATACCCTTATTGATAATGACTTTATATTTATTGTAGGGTGTTTAATAGTGGTAAATATAGAAAGATAGAATTAGTTTGAAAGTAGATAACTACTTTGTTGGAAGTGAGATTTAATTAAAAATACCTTATATTTTTTAACGATAGGAGTATGTATTAATTTAAAGACTCAATGATCAAGTGACTAATTTATTTTAGCAAATTCATTAAAAATTTATAAAAGAGGGAAAAACAATTGTCACTTTAAGTCAGCTCAGGTGGCAAGAGCATGATAAAATACAACTAAAGGTCAAGGTTTAAATCTCTTTGATATGATAAAAGAAAATAAAGAAAATCATGTTACACCATAAGGAAAGGAAACTTAGACACTCTTCAACACCCGGGGAAAGAAACCTCTATAACAACAAAAGGACTATTGTATAGTTTCAGATTTTTAGCCCAAAGGAAACAACTATCAATGAACCATTTAGGAAACTTGATATCGATATAAGTATGAAATTTAACTTTAAAACTTTGCTCATTGACTACAGGAAGATATAACTAGAGTAAGCGATTTTCCTGTATCATTAAGCATGTCAATTTTTTTTATTATTCAAGAAGATTTGTAGTTCATGGTCAAAAGGGGGGGGGGGAGAGAGAGCTTAAGTAAAAGTACTCTTATAAAGGTTTAATTTCAAATTAGTATCAATATAATCTGAAAATATATTGCAAAACTAATGAATTAAATAGAATAATTAATTAAATCAAAATTTATAAACAAAGCATTCATTAATAAGGATAAGTAATAATAATTTTTTTATGATAAGAGAATGTAGCAAATATTCTCAAAATCAGGAAGAGGAAAGAACTAGTAAATTAACAATGAGGTGTGGGGTTTGATAATGAGAAGAACTAGCACTTGTAACTTGAAAAAATTAAATTTAAGTTTTTATTGAAAAAGATATTCATATTTTAACTTGCAACTCCACCTCAAATAGAAATACATATAGGCAATGAAGAAAAATTAATAAATTTATTTTTTATCAACAAAAACTAATAAATTTATAATTTTTTTTACAAATAGTTCTTCAGCTAAACACTTTTTTTTTTTTAATGGAATAAACACATTTTTTCATGGGTCTTCATCTCAAGTCTGAACACTAAAACATCTATATATAATCGATAATATAATATTGATAGTACTAATAATAAAATATTATATAGTTGTGAAGAATGAAGATCGGATCCCAGCATACGACACAATACACATCACGGAACAGCGGCTTTGTCCGGGAAATTGCAATTGTGTTTCAGGTAAAAAGGTTCGATTTTCATAGGCTGACCTTCTTGAGTTTCCCGTCGGCGGCTACCTTCCGCCCCTCTGTTTGGGGATCTCACTGCTCCGGCGAACATGTGCATATCTTTAAGGTATGCCTTCCCCAAACATATTCACTTACTTCCATCTCTCATCCTTCTCTCATTCCCTTATTCTCTCAATCTCAAGTCCGAAGCTTATTCCCAAACCCCATTTGCTAATAACAACGATGACGCCATGGCTTCATTCAATGGCCTGATACGCATGCATCCCCCACCTTCCGTTTTCCAGATTACTAAGATTTTAGGTTCACTTGCAAAGAGTAAACGTTATCGCACTGCTATTTCACTTTCTGCGCAAGCTGAGCTCAATGGCTTCACGCATGATTTTTTTACATTGAGCATATTGATCAATTGTTACTGTCAGGTGGGTCAGGTGTATTCTGCTTTCTCAGTATTGGGGAAGATTCTCAAGATGGGTTTTCAACCGAATATTATAAACTTGACTACACTGATTAAAGGACTCTGTGTTAGTAACAAGGTTGGGGAAGCACTAGACTTTCACGAGGAGTTAATGGCTAAAGGATTTCAGTTAAATGAAGTCAGTTATGGAACCTTAATCCATGGGTTGTGCAAAACAAAGAGAACAAGATCTGCCATTGAGTTGCTGGAAAAGATGAAGGGGCTTGGAATTAAGCCTAATGTGGTTATGTACAACACGATAATTGATGGTTTTTGTAAGGATGGGCAAACGTATGAGGCCCGTGATTTATGTTCTAAAATGATTGATTGTGGAATTTTACCAAATAATGTCACTTACAACTCACTTGCCCACGGTTTCTATAGTATGGGCAAATGGCAAGAAGCTACTCAATTGCTCCTTGAAATGCTATTGAAAGACATCAAACCTGATGTTTATACCTTTAGCATACTGGTTGATGCATTTTGTAAAGAGAGAAGGATCACAGAAGCTCAAGCATTGTTTGCTAAGATGATGAAATGTGGTGAGAGGCCTAATGTTGTAACTCATGGTGCTTTGATGGAGGGGTATTGTTTGATGAATAATGTTAATGAGTCAAAGAAAGTATTCAACAAAATGATCCAAAGTGGTTTGACACCTACTGTAGTTAGTTATAGTATTTTACTTAATGGACTCTGCAAGGCTGATATGGTCGATGAAGCTTTGGATCTCTTTAAAGAAATGCGCCGAAAAAACTTTGCCCCCAATGTCGTAACTTACAATGCTCTCATTGATGGCTTATGCAAATCAGGAAGAATGTCATCTGCACAAGATCTTGCATGTGAGATGTATGCCAGTGGTCAATCCCCTAATATAATCACATATAATACCTTGTTGGATGCATTTTGCAAAAGCCAAAATCTTGACACGGGAATTGTGCTAATTAAGCAAGCTATTGACCAAAGAATTTGGCCTTGTAAGTACACATATAGTATACTCATTGATGGTTTGTGTAAAGGTGGTAGACTAGATACAGCCCAAGAGATTTTTCAATACCTTTTGGTCAAAGGCCATCATCTTGATGTTTGTGCATTTAACATTATGATCCATGGCCTTTGTAGAGAAGGCTGGCTTGATGAAGGTATGATCTTGCTTCAAAAAATGAAAGAGAATGGCTCCCTCCCTGATTTAATAACATATAGAACACTTATCCGAGCCTTTTTGGAAAAAAGTGAGAATGCTAAGGTGGAGAAGCTTCTTTTTGAAATGACTGATAGTGGTCTTCTAAAACAATAAAACGAGGTCAAATACTCTAGTTGTATTTATATTGTACATATTGAAATTTGTCTTCATTGCCTAGCAAGTTCTTGCTTCTTTCTGACCTAAATTGTTAGATTATTCAATGGCCGGGAAGGCATTCAAGAATTTTTGTTCAAAGTTATAGGTTAAATATATTTTTTGACTTTGTATACATGTTAACCATGATTATTACTTTTGTTTTAACATGAAATTTGTGCCTTCTTCCTTCATGTCTCTTTTCTAATTTATTTATTAAGTTCAAGGTGTGTCACATTTGTTGCTTATGAATTAGCATTTCTGCTTTTAAATTGTAGCTAAAATAAAATTTTCTTGAATTACACAATCTAAAATGATAATGGCTTGCAGAATATTATGGACCACATGAAAAGTTCTTTTATTTGTTTTACAACTAAGCAAATAATGTGTGAATAAAGCATAAATAATGGTTTAAGAGTGTGTACTATTCTAATGTTATGTTGGATTTTCTTGAAGGGTTTCCAAATGCTTGTTTCTTTAGGCTTACTAAATAGGTTTGTTTTTTGGGTCTTTGTTCAAATGTCCTTTAGGTTAATTATCATGAGCATGAAATGTTTGAGCCCTTGAATCTCCAATGTTTGTTTTTATAATTTTCTTCTTATTTTTATATTCAACCACAGGAGGCTTAGCAACTTGTGAGTGTGAGCATCAATACCATAATTTAGTTGTTTGATGCAATTTAAAATGTGTGCTGAGATTTGATCAGAATTTTTGCCTAATTATTGGTAGATATGATTTTGTATCATTTTCTTGTCTTCTACGTATGCACTGCATAAAATCTTCTGCTATTGATGAATTTCAGAGTTCCTTGGCATACTAAACATTCAAAAACTGTCTTTCATGAGCATGCAAATGGAAATATGTTTATAAAAGTCACCAGCCAACCTTCTTATACTAGCGATTTTTCAAAATGTGTCTGACAAATATCATAATGAATGTATTAGAGGGATGAATGCTATCCTCATTGCTTAAACAAGATCTTGAATATATGAGATTCTACATTAAGATTAGAAAAGTGTTGATACAGATTTATATGTCTGTTTTTTTAGTACATGACTATTTTTGCAAGATTGTAACTTTATTTGCTTTGGCTTTTGGGGGATGAAATTCAAAATTCATACAATTCCAATATGAAACTTATCCCTTACCTTCCAATCACTTTTGGGAAAAAATTGAAAAAAAGAGGAGAAAGAAACAAAAAGAATTCACAATAAGTTCAAACACATCACTTCTTTGTTTTCTTTTTGCCATTTATTATACATTCAAGTGAGGGATCAAGTTATACCTTCTATTATCATGGCAACTCACATACACTCAAAGTTCAAACGCATCACTGCTTGGTTTTCTTTTTCCCATATCTTCTTCAGTCACTCGTTATATCATTATATCATTGTAACAATTATTTGACTTCATGTATGCTCTTAGCCATCCCATAAATGTGTTTAGGATAAAGAATTACCATAGATCTTATACAGCTTATGGTTGTTCTTTACAATATCTCTTGCCAGTCCAGTAATATTGCATGTCCTTAAAAAATAAAGCTGGAATCATGAATGCAGAAATCGAGCAATAAGAGTAGAACTAGTATAATAAATGAGTTGGTGGTTTATTAAATAATGCAGTGTCGTTATAACTTTTAAGTTGTATGCAACTGAAATTCAAAGGATTATGCATGGTCCACAGTGAGTGGTAACTAATTTCATTTTGGGACTTTGTGTGTAGAGTTTATATCATATACACGAACAGAGATTGACATTGCCAAGAAACAGGAAAGATTGATTGCTCAAGCTTATCTGGGTTTAGGAATATCATATATTTTGACCACTCACACTACTTGAGAAGGGTGAAGAGTAAGGTACTTATTCATATGAAAATTAACCTTATTAGGAGTTTACAATAAGAGCCTATAACAGGATCCAATTGTGAGGTGAGTTGGCTTTGACAATATTAGTGCTATAAATTACAATTCTATATTTTTTGTTGGCCCAACTGAGAGCAATCATAACTTTTGAACATTTAATGTATATCCTTGGTTATTGATGATTATGACGGATACTAGTTTGCTAAGTAAACAACTTTATTCTTAATCTGCTACTACACATTCTTCCCAGAGTTTTGTCAGGTTTGAACTTTGATGATTAAAGTCGTTAAAACATTCAAGTCTGTTTAAGTTCTTTTAACCATCACTGCTTGTGGCCTACTTTTCCTTTGTTTGCCATTAATTAGAAGTGTTACTTTGCTTTCTGGATTATGGATACAGCATCTTATGCAGATTTTAACAACTGGATAGATTTCCCTTATTGGAGCACAGAGACAAGTTGCTTAACTTATTTGCGTTGCATGACCTTTCTGGAGGTGGTACTTTTTTAACGAAGAAGAAGCTAGCCAAGCTTCTGGTTCCATTTCCATTTCTGTTTTCAGTCGTGCTGTCTCGATCATTTGCAATGCTATTGTTAGTTTGAGAATCCAAAGAGATGTTTGCCAACTTTAGCACAATTCAGGCAGATCATTTTGTTCTGATCTTGAATTTGCTGCACAGATCTTCTCTTCCTAAATTGGAGTCTTACCAGCAATGATGAGCTCTGATACGATGTCTATATTTAAATGGGAAGTGAATCTGAGTCATGCAACACGCTTCAAGAGATTTTGAAGTACGTGAGCTATTATATAAAGTTCAGTGAGTGAGCTAGCTGACTGAACTCGCTCACTGAACTATATGCAGACAAAGACTTGCCAACCAATGCAATACATACACAAACTCACTCAGTTAGGAGATTCTTTATTCTTTCTAAAGTATTGCCTATCATCTCTTAGTTGCACCAATTATGATGCCTGATGTTTAGCTGGACAGTGAAGAGGTGGTTTGAGTCCTCAATCTGTGGCTTGATATAATTGTCACATTGTTTCTCGATAGAGAAGGCTATTGGAAAACTCGGGGCTGTACTGGATGGTTTTGAGTGGTTAAAAGTGTTTCCTTCCTTCATTCTTTAGTTTTCATGGGAAACTTCTCTTGTATGGAACCTTTCGTTTCCTTCTTGCTCAAGCCTTCAGGGAGCACCTCTTTGAATTGATTTATTTACTTTAGTTGCAAGCTATGACAAGAAAAGCAGACAATTAGAATCATAGAATCGCAGTGTGCTTAGCCAAAATATGTAACCTAGGAGCTTCATGTAAATAAGATTTTATGGGATGTTTATATCAGCTCTGCATGTTTCTGCTTGGTGCAGCTAGCAGCTGACGATTTATTTCTTACTGCTCCTACCACAAAACTGTTTGGCTGCAGGATTAAAACTTACACTCTAGAGATCATAATTTTGTGCCAGGATCTAAGGTACAGATTGCACTGTATGGAATTTGGGGGATTCAGAAGTTTGAATTTATGAACCAACTCAGACTTTGACAGACACTGCATGGAATTTTATAGATATTGAAGGATTGATGTATAGTTTAATCACTATGGTGAAATCCTGGACCAGAATTCGTTTGTGCTTTTTTATAACTTCAATTCATTTGGCAGAAAGTCATGAGGAAGGTGGAAAATGAGCACATTACTTCGAACTTTCACAATTCTTTATATTCTGATCCGCGTGCATGCTAGAGTCAAGTATTTATATTCATTAACTTTCACAAAAGGAGCACCGGCTCTAGAACCAAACAAATGAAGCAACTCCCACACATCTCAAACATTTATATTCATAAACTATCATTTGAATCCCCATTGACTTGTACAACTTTTTTGGAAAGACAGTTACGGGTTTGATACTTTTCGCTATCCGGCGGCTATTGTGTGTACAGGAGGACCCAGCGGCTATCTGGGAATAAGAAACTTGAATTTTCTGTTGTGATAAACACGTTCACTGACAAGATGATCCCGGCAAGGTGACTTCCTTTTTCTTTTAAACTAAAGTACTGAACGAAACGGCCTCAGACCTAATGATCTGATCCACCTGCACAACACCACCAACATGCAGTTGATTTTGGTCAATGCACTCACCGCCACGGAGATTTCATGACAAATTACATACTTCATTTACTATAAATAATAGAAGCAGTATATCTGCAATTATATTATTTACCATTATTACTACTTATTTTAATCATTGTATGATTGTATTAATATATGGAACCATTCTTTTTTTTTCCCCCTGTCAATGCATCTGTATCTTAAGCTTGCCTTATATTAAGTTGAGAGAACTTTAACAATGTATAAATTAATTCGGATTGATTCGTGTTGAAATCCCTTTTAGGTGAAACATGAAAGCATTGGAATTCGAACTTGAAACTTCTAATTAAGATATTTATCCATTCTAATAATAATTTCATACTTTATGCGATGAATTGTTTGGATGGGACATGAAAAGTGGGGTCCCAAAAACACAGCGTACAACATGTGCCCCCTGCCTCGGTGGCTCCCATTCCCAATAGCCAACATTTTCTCTTATCACTATCAACACTTAATTCAAATTCAACGGTTCCTTTTTTGTTTGGGCCCAATTCAACTGTTCAATTTTGGTTATTGCTCACTCATTTCCTGCATTCCTTCTGCCAGCCTTGGCCCTCTTAATGCAGTAGAAGTCCATGATTGAGTTATTTATTAGAAAAAAAAAATGTGGGTTGATTTTCATTTCAAGTATTTTTTTTATTTTAATTATTTATATTGTAATAGTTTGAAAGAAAAATTTTAAATATAAAAGATGAAGGAGTTTCGGATTAAAACTAGAAAATTGAATTAGATTCAACGATACACACTAAAAGGTGACAAGTTGGGCTGGTAAAAATTCTAACTCATTCATTTGTTAGTTTTTTTTTTTTAAATAAATCAGCCGCTGCTGTTGTGAATTTTTTATTTGAATTATACTTCTTTCACTAGAAAAATCCTGATTTTTTTTACAATTTTTTATTTTAATTCTAATGAACGTAATAACAATAATTCAATTTTCGAGTATATATTGGCAATCAATTTTCTGTCTTAAAACGAATTTTTCCCATGCATGCTTCCCAAAAATAGATTATTTGAAATAGATTTGTAAAAATGTGATTTTTTTTAAAGTATAAAATTGTCGTTATAACTCTAGAGTTTAGACGTGGTGCAAAAACTTGCGTAAAACATTCCTGATCAAGCAATTCCTTTTTCCGACTAAATCTCATATTTCATTATTTATTATGTATTTGTTCGCTTCATTTAATTTATCACTTCACTATTATATATAAAATATTTGAGACTAAGATAATGCTAATTGAATAAATTAGTACTAATTAATATATTAATATAATACAATAAAACTCAAAATTAACTACAATAGAAAATAAAGTGTATTATTCAAATATTATAAGCACAATTCATTTTTAAATGTGTATGAATATAATAAAAAACTAATTCTAAATATTAATCTAAAATACATTTTTGATAAATTAATCTAACATATTTCAGGGAACAAAAGGGAGCATTAACCTTGTCAGGTCATATTCTCACAATAGTTCAACAAAATGGAATCTTCAGGTAACGTTTGAAACAAATTTTTGAATGTGAAAGAAAGAGGAGGTTCCCCATTGTCTGGTTGTTCAATTACACGATTAACATAAATATCTCTCATTTTTTATCCCCTTCATATAATATCAACCGATTGATATCATAATCATTAACATTATTTTATTATTTAATATATAATGTATAATACAAAATTTATGACGGATTTTATTGTTTTATATATCGCGAATATTACAAAGTATTCCTCAAAATATGCACAGAAACACGAGAAGCCCATCTAGTTTAAACATTTCAAACTTGTATTGGAAATCAATGTACAATATATTTGAAGATTATGTGTGATCAATTGTAATTATCAAGTAATTTTGGGGTGGAAAGCTGGAACTGGAAGCTACACATGTCAAGAAATATTATTTAAAATTGTAAGTGACATTATCAACGAAAATTATTTGCAATAATAAGTTAACAGCGCAAAAAGCATTGAGGGATATTTAAAAAAAAAAAAACAAGTGTATTGGAAAAAAAAATTATGCATACAAACATATATGTGAATTCTGAAAAGAATGCGACTTGACTTCTGTGGTGTATAACTACTATGGTGAAATCCTTGACCAGAACTCGTTTGTGTTTTTTTAAAACGATTTTCTTTCTTTTAGCTTTTTAATATTTTGACAGAAAATTTTGAATACTTGACTCTAGTATGTACGCGGATCGGAACATAAAGAATTGTGAAAGTTCAAAGTAATGTGCCTATTCAGCTATTCTCGTGTTTATTTTTCCACGTCACTCATGATTTTCTTCCAAATGAATTGAAGTTTCATTTCCATCCTTAGCATCTCAACTAGTTAGCTTCAGTTGACTAAGTTTTATTCCCTCTATAATTTGATAATTTTCTTGTGTCCATTGGTTAACAATAATAAAACTTAGAGAGGTAGGGGGAAAAAAAAACCTAGAGAGAATGTTTATAAAAGTTGATAAACAAGACTTCTTTATTAATAATATTTTTTAGAGGTTGAATTGTTAATAGAGTAAAATAATATTGTATAATTTATATAATCAACATCATCTAGTAAAATGCGGCTTGTTATTATTGTTGTTTTCTCTGGGTTACACATGGCTGGCGGAATTGAAGTAATATTAGGAGGAATTTGAGAATTTATGACAATGATGTCCTATTGATAACAGTTACTCCTTTTGGAAAGTATCTATTAACAATAATCCACATATAAAAAATTTATTTTCATACAAATATATGTTATTTTTTATTTTAATTTATAATGAGTGAAAAAATATCATAAATTCAAATATACAAGAATCTAGGTTAATAAATATAAGAGATAGAATAAAAAATTTACAAGTATTAAGTTGCATGTGTTTTGGACTAAAATTAATTGGAAGAAAATTTTACTATTACTAGACACAATTAATATTATTGCAGATATTATTTTCATTATTTGCACTTAAATATGTTTTTCAAGTACACTCAGGAAAGTGTAAATTATTTTATTATATTTTTAAGGAAAAAATAATATTCAAATAAGGTTAATTTGCAGCAAGCCGAGGAAGATCAATGTGATTTAGATTAAGATGCCATTGCATTTAATTAGACCAACAGCGTTGTCTATGTTCATATCATAAAAATTAAATTTGATTTCGATAATTATACTCCTCTGCTAAAAAATACAAAATATCTCTTGGGTTGGATTTTCAAACTATAATTTATTTTTAGTTTTTTTAATATATAATTAATGAGTTTTTTAAAGAAATATTTTTAGTAAATACATCACTCAACCTTAAACTCTAAATGAAATATTCTATTAAATAAAAATATAAAAAAATGATATTAATTTAAAAATAACTTATCAAGAATATGGTTAAATTAAAAATATAAAAAAATATATAACAGTAATAGTAATCGAGTCTTAAAATCTTATTAAGTTATAGGACAAATCATACTAAAGTCCCATCCATAGATTTTAATTCCTAAAATATCCCATAAAATGTTTAAATAACTTCAAAGTGTCATAGACTTTGTTTGTAATCTTTTTGTTCTAAATTATAATATACATATTTTTACATAAAATTTCACTTATCAATAAAGTTCATTAACTACAGTTTATAATTTTATTTTTTTAGGATAAAAATATAAATTTTTAAAATATTTTTCATTTAATACTTCATTAATAAAAAAATTTAAAAAAGAGTATATATGAAAAGGATAATATTAAAAGAATTAATAAAATTTATTTTTATTAAAGTATATTATATTTTATGATACTGAATCTTTTTTAAAAATATTTAATAATTTAAGATGAGGGCGTAATTAATTTTTAGAGTGGAATCACCAAAATAACCCCCCCCCTCCTTTCTCCCTTGGACCACGTCGATAGAGGGTATTTTAGTCTCTTGACAAGGCCATAGAAGCTCCGATCATCTTCTTCCCCTCTTCCCTTCACGTCTTCCTCTCCTGAATTTGATCTAGCTTTTGTCGTCGCCGTTGTCAACTCGCCACCGTTACGGGAAGACGCCCCTGCTGCTGTAGCGAGGAGTCAACGACTGTCGGTGCCACTACATCAGAGGTGTTATGTTACCAACACCACCTCTCCCGCTACTCTCTCTTATTGATGCTTTATCGATGAATATGGTGAAGCCTTGTCTTTTTGTTGGAGAAGTGGATTCAAATGGAGAAGTAGAAGTAGATTTAGATGAAGAGGTGCTATAGTAGGAATTATCTTCTTCATATGCATGAGTAGAATCATCCTCATCATCAGGAAAGTATTCTTCAGTAAAGTGATAGTCAATACCATGATCATTATCATAATCACTATTTCTAGAACATGGATTCTTGAATCTCCTTAGCAACTGAAAACCAAAAGGTGTTCATTGACGATGGAATACAGGAATAGTATTCCAGAAACTTGTCCTAACAAACATCATCGTCTTCTTCTTCACTCTTCTCCAAGCTAGTTTTCCATTCTCGAGCGTTAGGATCGTGTAAGGTAATAGTGGGAGCAAAATCATCGCCATGTTGATTCACAAACGCCTTAGGAACTTTACAAATATCTACAATCAATGCACATTCAAGTTGGTCCCTGTTTTCTCAATAACCAAACAAAGCCAAAAATTATCAAACTCTATCATGTAAACAAGAGGAGTCTCTTAAACACAATTTTCTTCCTGAAGTGATTTTACATATGCATTATTCAAATTTAAAAGGAAAGTGTACATTTTGTTCTCACTGCTCCAGCAGCAATGAAGTGTCTCTTTTTTCCTAGAAACCAAATAGATTTTTTTTTTTGACCGAAAACAAAAAACAAATAGATTAAGTTCTTTTTTTTTTTCAATTAAAAGATTAAGTTATTTTTATTTGGCCTGAAATTGAACTATATATCCAACTCAATCGGTAAAACAAAGTAAGTATATGTAATTCCCACAAATTTGGAATGGCTGCATCTTGTTGCTTCATGTTTGGTTATCTTTGGAGCAAAACAGAGCATAATCCTGCAAGCGAGACTCCTATAGCATCTTCATTACAAGAGTTTATCTTCTCATAAACCAAACAGAACATCCATAATTTTAGGCAGTGGGGAAAGAAGCAAGAAAGCAGACTGAACACTGCCAAATTTTTGTCAAGAATCGTAGTAGGAAGTATTATCTTGAAAATGTGCGCCGGCTTGCAGTCGGACAAGCTTGATCGCCGTGGAGGATTTGTTTCCTCGTTCTGCATGTATATCTATAACTTTTTTTGATAACTTTATATCTATTTCTATGTGCTTGTTTCTGCGTTTCCTATCTTTCGCTTAACTTACGAAGTAGCAATTACAACACTGAGATGAGAGGACAGAGAAGGAAAACAATAAAAACATTGATCGGATAGAGAGATAATGGTGAATTCTTGATGTCTCTGTAAGCACTCTTCAATTGCAGATGAAGAGGCTGGTGGGGCTGACAAGTGGTTTCGGAGATTGTGAGGGAGTCAGTTGCTGGCGTGTAAAGGAAGAAGGATATTTTGGTAAATCTATACCGAAAATGAATTACAATCAAAGCCTATGGGACTTTGGAGTGATTTGAGCATTTCATGGGACTTACAGGAAATTAAAATTAACGGGTGGGATAAGTTATACAATAACGATGACATTTAATTACAAAAGTTCGTACACTAGTCTTCTTCATCTCTTTCTTACCCCAGCAAAACGTGTGAGAGCTTTTCGCCAAGATGAGGGGGAGAGACGCCGCTGACGAGAAGCGCTTGCTTTGGATTTGGAAGCTTCCGGTGGTGAATCCTAAGGATTTCGGGAAGGTGGGCCCGGCATTCGGAGCTGGCGCCGGCTGTGGCCTCGGCTTCGGCGGAGGTAATTTTCTTGGGAACCGAGCCCAGTTCTTGAAAATTCTTGTTTTATGTAATCTCAGGATTAACTTTTTGTTAGTATTTATTTTGTCTAGGGATTTGATTTTACTTCCATGTGTTCATCACTTTATATGCGCATGCTGTCTCCCATTTCCACAAATTTCAGGCTGCAGATTGCCAAATTTTCAGCTGGTTCAGAATTTGCTACTGTATATCCTTAATTTTCAAGTTAGGCCTGAAACTTGGAGTTGAGGTCCTTTATCAAAGTTATGGCGCCTTCTAATTTCTGTATCTGAATAACTTTTATGTAGTATAGCGGAGCTAAAGTATAAAACCATTATAATCCATGCAATATATGGGACGCATTTCTTTAATTTTTTTTTAATTTCATTTTCTCATTCTATCCTATTTGCCCAACAGGTCCCCTTGACTTCTTAGAACCTGCATTGGTTGCTTATTATAAATTTTAGCGCTTAATGTTTCTATTTGAATGTTATAAGTACTGGCTGAAAATTTTCCCCCTAACTGAAATAAACATAAAGACTTCTGATGTCAAGGAAACTAGTGAACAGATAATTCTTCTAAGTGCTAAATTCTTAAATCATATGTATAATGAAAGGTTTATCTTCTCAAGAATAATCTGTTCTTATTCAAAAATTTTCCTTGGATTTATAACTTAATATACATTTAATTGTATTGATCGTTTGACTGTTATTAAAGATTACTTGATACATTGCATGTAAGAGAACCTTGTTGGAAATCTATATGCCTTTGCCTGTCAGATCTTTTCCTTTCAAACCGGACAGTCATGTAAAGATAAAGAGCGTTAATGTGAGCTTCTGATGAGAAAGTTAGTTCTTCTTTTCTCTTTCTTTGTTGTTGTTTTTTTTTTTTTTTTTTTGGGAAATACGGGGCAAAGCCCTGAAACTTTATTGATTAGCAGAAAAACTAGAATGGCAAATACCCACCTTATCTCGATACATCCCCTGAAGGAGCCCAGAGGAGCCTACGTCAAAATTCTACGAGAGTCATTCTGCTTAATACTTTGTTTAGCAAGCCAATCAGCGCACATACTGATAAACTAGGATGATGCATTTTTTTTTTTCTTTGATGATTCATGTCATTTGATAATATTGCTGTGACTGATTATGCTTAATTCTGTAAGCCTATTCTCTTGTTTTTATTGTTCGTTCTTTAAATCTTATCCACGTGATTTTCTGACTCCAGGGATGGGTATTGGTCCTGGAATTCCTGGTTTTCGAGTTGGTTTTGGATTTGGTGCTGGATGTGGGATTGGTTTGGGATTTGGGTATGGTGTGGGTAAGGGAATTGCTCAAGATGAGAGCAGGAGGTATTCAAATGTTGGAGATCCCTTTCATGGTTCTCGAACCATTCCTTCTGAGTAAGTGCATTGCGTTTCATACTCTCTTTTGCTCCTCTTAATGCAGATATTTTCACTTTGTTAAACTCTTTTTTAATATTTATCAAAATTGAGAACACGCCTCTTTTATTAAATGATGAAAAAAAAAAGCCCATCCCTCTACACACATGCACATGATTCTATGATTTGAAATTTCAATGGCTTGTTAAAATTGAGAATGCAAATCTACATCTAGCTAGATGTGGGTCTTATGCATTTACGGAATCAGAAAAACGAGCAACGCGCCAATGGCTTTGTAATCTTGTGGCATGTATGCTCCCCTGTAAGTGGAAAATTGTGGGGTTTGATTCCGTTTGTAATCTCAAGCCATTTGTGCTTGCCCTCTAATTAAAAAAGAAAAGAGCAACATATTTATAGATACAGCTTCCTATAAATATTGACAATGAACAGATTATCCATGTGGCTGTATTTGTGGTCTCTATGTAAAAGGTTGCTCATAAAGACTACTAGCACCAACTGAAGAGGAAGTGAGTATTAAGAAATAGTGAAATCTGAATTCGAATGGTTAGGTTTCAAAAAAGTGAAAAAAAAACAAGCTTTCAATTATTTGCTTCTAGGAGTTTGAGTACTTTGTGCCAGCTTCATACAAAAAGTTAACATTGAATCTGATAATAATGAGCTTTGCCAACCAACCTTAAAATAAACATTGCCTGCAAAGATTGCGCCATGGAAGCCCTTGGCATTTGAACCTGCTATGTGATTGAGTTAAAACTTCATCTCAAAATCTTTTCAAAGCCTTTTTTCTTAAAAAAAAAAAATCAATCTTGCCCGTTGTTGTCAGGGATGACATTACCGGACTTGCCGATGAACACGTGATGAATGGCAAAAAGCTTATCAAAGTAACAGCCAAGGAATTTGACAAGTGGAGGAGATGAGTGAAAGCGGCTGAATTGGATTTCTTTGATGTACATTTCTATAAGCCCAGGTTCACATGTTACTATTTAGTAGATGTATGCATTGCTATTTTCTAGGCCTATACTAAATCATGCTTAGGCTAATGGTATTTTCATGGGACATGACGATTGGTCATTTCTAATTGAAGTTTAGCTAGAGAATTATTAGGCCCAACGTGAATTCCTTCGTCCATTGTTTACTTTGAGGTTCCTTTAAACTTACGAGCTGTGATTCTTGACATGAGGATTGTATTCTTCATTACTACCTCGAGCTTTGGACTTTTTTAATTCACAAAGTGAATGTAGAGAATGCATTTGAACAGAGAATGAGAGAAGGAAAAAAAAAAAGGATTTTGCAGGAGACTTTTTTATTTTTTGGGCCAAAGATTATGCATGAGACTTGCATCTTATGATTAGGGATAAACTCATTATTCCAATTTTTCTATCTATTTTCAAATGTACTTTTCACTAGAGTCAATAATTCAAGCGGGTTAAGCTTATTTAGACAGGACTTAAAAGTATCCTATATTATCTAAAAAGTCTATATAATCAAGCTCAATTCTAATACTTTTGAGATTTGAGTTTGTTTGGACTAGCTTAAATACGCAAATTTTTTTTAAAAATGTTTTCTCTATTTTTAAAATTAATATTAATTTTTAAATAATTCTATTAAGCATGAAATATTATTTTACTTTAAAAAAATAAAAGGAAAAACTAATAATTTATCAACTCTGTACTTAAGTAACTCTGTTACTATTTTGTTGCATTATACATAATTTATTTATGAATGTTTCATTTACTTATAAATTAATGTCTTAATTATTTAAATATTACTCTTATCATGGTCATATATAAATATTTTATATATTTTAATTAAAATATATTATTTTAAGTAAGATCAACTTAATCTTCATTTAATTACAGTTAAATCATTCACTTAAAATTATTATCTCGATTAGTTTTAAGTTTTCAATAGCTTTTGAATAAAATATACTTTTCATTTTTAAAAATATAAGAAAACTAGTTGTTATTACATTATATAAAATAAAATCATTCAATGATTATTTTTTTTTAACTTTTTATATTGTTTAACCTCTACATACAAGAAATATTTACTCTAATTTATTTTTAATTTTTAACCAAGTATGATGCAGACAATAACCAAATAATTATTTAAGGATATTATTTTATTTATTATTTTACTTAGTGATAGAGCTAAAATTCATATGTGCCCACTTTTTATTTTTAAAATTATTTTTAATTTAATTTTTATTTTAAAATTAATTATCTTATTTTATAAAAAATTATAAAACATATTTTTTATACTCAAGTCTCTAGGACTCAAAAATGTTTTTTTTAAAGATAAGTAGGTCTTAAAATATAAAATAAATATTAAAACACATTTTAAATATCATTTTGAGATATTTTTCCATTAAAAGTAATAAAATATGAAAACATAAATATTTTTAAGTTTTTTAAAATAATTATATTAATGAATTTAAATATATGATATTTTAATATAAAATGACATAAAACTTAAAAAATAATTAATATTTATTACATTTTATATATTTTTAAAATATTATTTTTTATATGAGTATTTGAACCAACCTGAATAAGCTCGACCATCAAAAATATTTATTTTAAAACTCGACCATAAATTTTTTTAAGCAGATTATAGGCTCTACTTTTCACCTTCATTTTGTGAATGTAAAGGATTTAGGTTGCCTTAAACATGTAGCGTGTGGTGATAACTTGAAATTTTTATAATGCAAATATCATAATATGATCACCTTGGTGCCGTGTTTCTGTTGACATTGGATGTTAATCAACGTGTATTTCACTAAATACGGCCTTATAATGGTGTTATTGCCCTGGCTTTATTTAATCTAATCTAATATCTGCATAGTATTTTCATGAATAATTTTTGTGCACAAGTGTCTTCTTAGTAGAACAATTTTATTTAAAATATGGCTGGATGCTAAATATGAATACCTCTGTTAATGAAAATTCAAACATTGACTTGCATGTTGCAAAAGACTAGCTCTTTTTATTAAAACCATGCCCCATTAGCTGTCATGAATATTTTAACAATATTTTTAGAACCGGATCTAATATTGAATCTAAAAAATCAACGGTTCATATGGTTCAATCGAGTTGGACCAATGGTCAAACTAGTGATTTAATAATTAAATTTAAAATATATATATATATAATTTAAATATAAGAAATAAATATAAAATTATTGTTTAATTTAAAAATAAAACCAAATATTTTAAGTTCATCATGATTTAAAAACCCATATGATTCAAGATAACATTAAATGATTACAAAAATTGATTATTTTCTTAAAAAAATTTAAAAAAATTGAATAGTCTAATTTCCTACTTGATTTTAGTTCTCAATTTAATAGTCGGTCCAAAATGGCTTAACCAGCAAAACGGTTTTTACATGCTAATCAGGTCAAAATTCGGACCAATTTGACCATCTTGTCCCATTCAATTTTTTAATCACTGTATTTCTTTTTCTGTTTTTGTAGGATTAATCACTGTATTTTAACGAACATGGAAATTTCAAAATCATTGGGCATCCACAGTGCCCATGAGGGGCCTAGATGGACAAGGGTTCATGCACAGCCATAACATGCCCACTAAGGATCCAAATTTGATAGGACACATAGCCCTAACAAGTCCAAGGCCTCAAAAGCAACTGTACTATCCCACATTAATTACTGTGCCCTCCCTTCCTTTTGTCTCATTCTTATATCTCCTTAAGCAACAGAAATCGTTTAATTTAATATTCACTTTACCAATCAAGTTGCCGCTAACAATTAAAAATTTACTTTCAGATCAATGATTTAATTGAATTAATTATTTATTTCTGCTCACTAATTATAAATAAAAAATTAACACAAGGGTTGATAATAAAAACAAAATTTTAATATATATGTGTGTGTCTCTCTCTCTCTTTACTGAGTAGTTGACCAACCTCATAGTATTTTACATTTAAATATGCAGACGCTTCCAAAAGACTAATCTGACAGTTGAGGCAGCTTCTCTTTGTAAAGGGAATCTTCCATCACAGAGACAAAAAACCTCCCATCTAACTAATAAATTAAACTAATAGTAATCAACACTTATCCAGTATTCTTTATAAATTATTTTTACTAATTTTATAATATTAATATAAAAATAAAAGTGTGTAAAATTTTAAATATATCTTTATATAATAAATTTTAAAAATAATGTCATTATTTTTTTCTTTTTATGAAGGATAATTTTAAAAATATTTTTAAATATTACTTAAAAATTGTATTATGACTTATAAATAAGATCAAATAAATCTTTAAAATGTGATTTATAAATGAAATTGTAGGGATTACTTACTAATTTGACACACAAAAAATTTAAACAAAATTACAAAACTACTGATAATGACATAAGAGTACTTTGGTGATCACAGGTTTCTGTCCCACTACAATCTTTCCATTTTCTTTTTTTCTTTTTTTTTTTTCCTTACCTCTTTCACCAAATGTTACTTGCTTGCAATACTGTGGTCCTGTTTTAACTTTTAACCCTTTACCATCGTGGTGTTGCTTTCACAAGATTCTACGCCCCAGAAGTCAAGTTGCATTCTTTTCAGAATTCACATATTCTGCATGTGTAATGTATAATTTTTTTTCCTATACACTCATTTTTTTTTTAAATATATCCCTCAATGCATTTTTGTTGTTTTTTATTTTTTGACACTATCAATGCATTTTGTGCTGTTAACTCATTATTACAAATAATTTTCGTTGATAATGTCACTTACAATATAAATAATATTTCTTGACTAAGGTACCTTCCAGCTTTCCACCCCAAAATTACTTGATAATTACAACTGATCACACATAATCTTCGATTATATTATACATTGATTTCCATTACAAATTTGAAATCTTTAAACTGGATGGGCTTCTTGTGTTTCTGACTTTCTGTACGTATTTTGAGGAATACTTTGTATTATTCACGATACATAAAACAATAAAATCTCCATAAATTTTATATTGTACATTAATATTAAATAATAAAATAATATTACTCTCTCCATTAAAAATATAAGGTATTTTATAAGAAGTTGGGTTTCAAAAATATAAAATATTTTTAAATTTTTGATATGTAATCGTTGTCTTTTTTTAAGTGCTTCTATTGATAAATAACTTTATATTTATTGTAGGATGTTTAATAAAGGTAAATATAACAAGACAGAGTTAATTTAAAAGTAAGTAATTACTTTATTGAAAGTAAAATTTAATTATCAGAGAGAGTAATAATTATGATATTAATCAGTTAATATTATACGAGGGGCATAAAAATGAGAGATATTTATGTTCATCGTGTAATTGAACAGCCAGACGATTGAGACATTGCTCTTTTTGTCATATTCAAAAATTTGTTTCAAACGTTACCTGACTATTCCATTTTGTTGAACTATTTTGAGAATATGCATGTGACTTGACCTCACAAGGTTAATGTTCCATTTTGTTGCCTGAAATATGTTAGATTAATTTATGAAAAAATATATTTTAGATTAATATTTAAAATTATTTTTTATTACATTTATATACATTTAAAAATAAATTGTGCTTATAATATTTGAATAATATAGTTTATCTTCTATTGTAGTTGATTTTGAGTTTTATTGTATTATATTAATATATTAATTAATAATAATTTATTCAATTAGCATTATTTTAGTCTCAAATATTTTATATATAATAGTGAAGTGATAAATTATCCGATTAAGAGGAGGAAGGCTTAAGAGAACACTCTTGAAAATTGTTGAACGCGATCTCTTAATTAATAATATTCCTAAAGCTTGATAAATGATAGAGTACAATGACGTCTTGCAATCCACGTAACCGCCCCCACCTAGGTGGGATAAAAGGCTTGTTGTTGTTGTTGTTGTTGTTGTAGTGAAGTGATAAATTAAATGAAGCCAACAAATATTTTCTCTATTCCAAAAATATAAGACATTTTTTGAGAAGT